GGAGCAAGTTTATAAAGATTGCAAGGAGAACTAGGGTGTGCCAAGTTGGCGAAAATGGCCCTATTTAATTTGTTCTATGTATTAAAAGCTAGGCAAGTGCTAGCTCTAGTCTCTTTCTTGATGGCAGATGCAATGTGCTTTAAGACATGTCATTTTGGATGAAGAGGGCTAACGGATCTATTGGTGTGATGTGAGATAAGCAAAATGTTGCTTAAACTCTTTGAAATATATTGTCGGCGTGATATTTTTCTCCTACTGAAAAAGGATTGAGCAAGTTTGATCTTTCCTTGTTGCCGACGGGTCCTTGTAAGTGGCCAATAAATCCTAGACTTTTTAACATTTTATTTCCATTAGTCTTTTTGTTATTTGGTTCCTTGTCGTGAAATAGGTGTTTTATTAACCAAATGATATGGGTTTAATTATTTTTTTCAACTTCCTGAAGACTTAAGAGATGATCTTCAATGTTAAATGCAAGTTATTGAATGTGGATCTTTCGGAAAAGAGGCCAGCAGACTTGTAATCTATGCCACACAAGTCAAGAAGTATTCTCTAAAATAATGTTATAAATCCAGCAAAGCTAACACTCCTGAGTTAAGTGAGAGCTCGAAATTAATTATAACGATATATATTATATCATTTTATGAAAACATTTTGTGCTTAAAACATGAAAGGGGTGAATATAAGAATCCAAACTTAGACCATATTTATTTGGGACAGTGAAATTTGCGATCATTTAGATAAAATAGTTTAGATAACATGAATCAATTCATGTGTAAGAGGAAATCCTAGGAGGGGTACTTTGATAAACAATTTTGCTTACTAAGGTTAAGATCTACAGAATGCATATAACTAGGATTTGGTTAATTCTCCTCGTTTTATGTAAGTATGAAAGTGAGTAATTAAGTCAAGCTAAATAAGCCTAGCTAATTTAGGTTTAACTTGATAAGCATAATTTTAGTGTAGGTTCGGCTCATTAAAAAAGAAAGCTTGTTTTTGTTGTTTTCTGAAGTTTAATTTGGTTTACTTATAACAGTTTTTTTATTTAATAAATCTTAGAAAATTATATTACGGTCATTTTGTTATTTGTTTTACAAAATTAATAGGAAACAAGCCTTTGTACGTTTTTACGTATTTAATTTATACATGCATGAATTTTGTTTTTATATAGCTAGAGTTAAGAAATCGACTACCTAATAGGATGTTAAACTTGTGAGGCTCCTGCTATATGTTATCCTAATTAAGCTAAATCCCTACCCTGGCTTTTTTCACTCAACCAACTTTCAAACATGTTGATTGTTGTACTTGATTATTTCCCTTTCGAGGTTTTCCCTTTTGTTAGGATGCTTATCCCGGTTAAGTAATTGAACTAGGTTATTAATTGCTGCTAGCTTTGCTCGTCAAATGAGTTTCTAGAATTTGTTTTGGCCAATTGATCATTTACTAAATATAATTTTTGTTTGCCACGAAAAGAGCAAAGAAACTGTCACACGAGGTATAGTATGGCTAGTTGTAACATCGAAGTGCAGTTGATTTTTACTATGGTTGGATCTTTTGGTTGTATGAAACATTTAGACCATGATAGTACGAATAGATGCTTGGGCTTTACAAAGCAATGGATAGGGTAGGTAAATTTGAACCACTCCACTCGGCATCTGTCCTATGACGAGTGGGTTAGTTAATGCTTGACTGTGTTTCGGGGACCAACTGTGAGACAAATTTAAAGAATTGAAAATGATATATGGACACTCCATACAAAGATATACGTATATATGATAAATTATATAATGCTATAAAAAAAGATGAAAAAATAATAATAAAAGTGTTAATATATAGGGTTTGCACTTTGCACCGTTGAAGAGGTGGGTTCTACATATCAATACCAGAATTGAAGCCACCCGTTGTTTCATACACAACTTATTAGTGTTTTAAAATGAAAATATAAAAAAGAATGAATATAATGTTTTGAATGTTGATATGATTGCTTTAACTAGATCGCGAGTGGTTGTTGGTACAATACGAGGACAGGGACGAACCAATTGAATCTGTGTGGGGTTGGAGATAAGGTAACAAAAGAAATTTCCTTTCGAATATGGGGCATGAATGGGGAAAAATTAATTTTGGACTTACGCTTCCAGTTGTGGAGGGGAAAACAAGTATAATTGGAAGAAAAGAAGGAATTGATATATATTTCAGGAAAAAAGCCATTTCTGTGCTAAGAGAACTCTCAGTCAATATTTGCGTAGCACGAGTTCACTATTGTCGTACTAGAGAACTTACTCTGCTGTTAAAGCATTTATATCTCATTTTTTCTTCCTGTCAAAACATTGCAGTGTTGAACATGACACATCCTTGGCAACTCCGGAATTAATTAAAGATCACTGCTAGGATAAAACCATATATGTGTAGAGATAAAACCCTAAACATATGTATATGTTATGCTTCATTTTGTTTGAACATGTCTTAACAAAACACTATTTTATTATTTTAATTACCTGGAAACACCTGATATTGTAATAAGATTTAGTCATTAGTAAATACTATTGAACTAAATACTTAACCTAAGAGATAGTTCATAATTGTAATAATATAACACTTGGTCTTTCTAGCTAGTCAATGAGTTCAATGACTTCTAACATCACAATGGACCGTTGTTGATACTTTGTAATAATATGTTCTGACTTTTGAATGTCATGACATTATTTTTAGTTTCTCTTTATAAAAATAATGTACAGTTCAATCATTACAACATCAATTTCTTATAAATATATTTTTTTTATGATAAATTCCACTAAACGTTTATACCTAAGGAAAACAAAACCCATTAAACAAGAATCGATAACAAAAAGGTTTAGATGTTTGTTACTTTTCATTTTTGGTATATATAAGAGAGGAAAAGTGGGTTCGATTCAAAAAATCTTGTTACTAGTCACAATGACTGTATGTTAATACCTATAAATGATCATAGGAATCAAAGCGAAATCTTTTTTTGGCATCAACCTTATTCTTTTCTTTGTTAGTTTAACCAACCTGATTCGTTAGTCGTTTTTAAGTTTAACTGAATATTTTGACCGTTAATTTATAACATGGGTTTAGAAAGAAAGTAAGAATACATTTGTCATTAATTTAATTCAAATTAACGTTAAACGTACTATTATATTTTATATATCTTCTTTTTTCAAATGACCTAAATTTCATATAGGAAATGCATAGAAAAACGATGGGATGTGAAAACTGAGGTTACAGCTTGCAGAAATGGGTAGCAACCTTTCCAATGTTCAAGACAGCAAGAAACCCTACATTAGCAGACATTAGCAGAGAACAAGAGAAAACATGCTCCAACAAAACAAGTCTCTAAAGCTTCAAATCTAAGAATAATTAATGGGTAAGTTCATTTCTAATTTATATTGGTGTAACCCTTGAAATAATCTTGATATACTTTCATTTTCAAGTATATGTGAAAAAAATTAATTTAAAAAATTCATTCCTTACATAATTAGGGCCTGTGAGATTGTCGAGCTCTCCATTGAAGATGACATCAAAATATGTAAAATTCCAAACGAATATCCTGTCAAAATGAAAGCTCAAATTAAACATATATATCCAATATTCTGTGTGCTTGCTTATGATCATAAACTTCATCACATCTGTTCCTTTTTCCCTAAAACCAGTTCATTGAGCTTTAGGTTCAAGAAGACATTGTTATATAGAATCAATTGAAGTTACTTGTTGACAACTTGTTACACTGGACAGCATGGTTAATTATTAACCCTGTAAGTTGTCACAATACAACTGTAGAACAGTGACCAGGTTCAAAACACAACAGGAGATATCTCTTGTAACAATATTATTGAGCATGTATATAATACCAGTTTGTAGGAAGGCGAAGAATAAAAATTATACAGGATTTCCACCTACCCTGGGACATAGCTCAAGACTCAAGTGATTGTGATGGGTATGGAATTTAGATAGATGTCATATGCAAATTCAAGTTGTGGTAACAACTCTTTGATACAACAAAATAATAATTGCACAGGATTTCAAAAAGCTTAAAACACTGTGAAAGATCATCAGGTCATGAACTATTACACCACCACACTTCTCAAGAGATTATGTTCGGAAAGATACAGTCATGTTCCAATCAGAACATCAGTAATCCGCTGATCCAAGTTCCATTTCTTGTAAAATAAACCTAATATAAAGAGATGACTAGAAATGAAAAGAAAAACAGAAACTAAATAGAGTAGAAGTGAACTGCCGTTGTAATATAGATTGTATACATAGTAATAACAATTTGGGTGCATGATTTCCTATGCCCTAAGCACCCATTTTAATTATGTTCAGAACATGAAAACATCCTAGTTATCCAATGGATTGTAGCCATTTATCAATTACCTCTGAAAAGAGATCAACAGATCTATCCCTTTGAATATCAAAGCAACTTAGCAGGGAAATATTATGGATAAGTTATTATTCATAATCTTCTAAAAGCTAAAACTTCAAGCATGCATGAATATTTAACAGGCTCAGAGGAATCAATGCTTGGCATGGTAACATTGGTACATGATTAATAGTGATCTCAGTGTTCGTTACCCATAATTTTGTATTATGATGTAAGGGTTAAAATTTTCAATAGCTATATATCAAATTACGCACCAAAAAAAAAAAAAAGAATCAAGTTAATATTCTTGACCATATATATGTTCTGTGGTTATTACTAAATTAACATATTACTCACCAAACCGTCAGTTATAATCAGTAATATTTATTTATCCATTGCTTCAATGAAACTACGAAAATAAGAAGCTTTTAACTTGAAATTGCCACAGAAATTAAATTTTCTGATTAAAACAAAATAACACCTAGTGAGATTCTTGGTATGATTCATCACAGGGCTTCTGTGAAATACGTGATTGACTATTCATCCATGCTTGAATTCGTGAGCTGAAATATTGTCAATTAGAAAATCCACAACATCTAAAAAGATAACTGGAGACCAAAGCTGAAATTTTATAGTTTTCTCCTGATTCTTGTAAACCCTTGCACCAAAAGTACATCACTGCTTTTCACAAAGAAGGCAAATCAATTACATAAATAAAAAACTAAAAGCATAAAGCTGCTAGCGAGTGACTTCATCACTTTTGATAATACTTGTTAAATCACACTTTAAATATTGGACAGATATAATGCACGCAGGACGCAGCAAACCTTTATGCGAACTTTGACATGCCATTGGGTGATTATCAACAAGAATCAGTACAAACATTGTAAATGGGAATATAGGGCAGAAAAAGTTGCTGATAGAGAGAAGAAACACAGAACTATGGGATGATGATTACAAGGCAAAGCACACTCGAGGATTTCATTCTGATCAGATTTTACCGAAAACTAGCACATTAGTGTCGACTCTGATTGATGCACTCCTCCCAAGAATTTCCAAAGATTTGAATGAACCTCTACAAATCTGGACGCAAAAATCACTAAAATCATTGCAAGTTCAAAATCTGAAGCAGTGATTTGAGAAGAAGAAGAAGAATTAAAAATTAAAAACATACCACGGGTTCATGAAACATGTTGATAGATTCATGGAGCCTATTCCACAAAAGTTAGAGCATCCATTAACAAGGCCACTAGTATCCCAGTTTGGAGTGGAATAGGGTAATAGGGGCGCGCAGTACTCATTATTGTTGAAACTTGCATCCCTAGGGATCACAAGGTTTTGGTTTTGGTTTTGGTGATGAGAAGCCATCAAAGATGACGGCCTCATGTTCCTTTTTATCATAATAGATTCTTCAATGACGTTAAAGCCATCTCTCGGTGCTTCGCTATCGATGACATAAGGGTTGTCATAAGGTTGAACCCATCTTGCGCAAGCATCATCAGGTTCAGGCTGAATGGATGACCTCAATTGGTGCAGCATTTGAGTGGTTGCAGTTGCAGGGCACCTCTCATCAAACTCTTGCTGCACCCTTCTACTGCTACACATCTTGTAACAAGTCCTTTCTCTTGCTCTTGCTCTTGCCCTTTCCCTTAACTCCTTTTTTGTTTGAACACAAACATCATCCCTCTGTGACCATTTCAACTTCCTCCCTTTAGAACCATGACCCCCACTTGCCACCAATGATTTGTTGTTATTTGAATCCACAGAAGGGTCGCACGAGCACTTGTCACCCCCACTACTACTGCCGCTATTCTTACTTTGAGCTAGTTCTTTGATTGCATTCTCAGACTTTGTGAAGAGCCACTCAAGGGTGTTACTCGGTTTGTCAAACTCTAACATGTCCTGAAGATCAAAGAACTTGCGGGCTATTTCGCTTGATAATCTCACCCTGCGGTCCCTCAAACCCTGAGATGTGTGAATCTTACTGTGCCTGTCTTTCTTGGCTACGGCTGGTTTCTGGGTGAGAAAATTGGAAATGCTACCATAGTGGGAACCATAGTTAGTGTTTGCATCATGTTCAAGCATGGCAGTGCAGTCTGCAACTGCAAAATTGGCAACAGTTTCTTCAGGGAATGGAGGATCATGCGTAGTGGGAACGAAGGGAACAAGAAAAGGGTCATCAAGAAAGGTGTTGCTTGCAAAATCATTTTCAGGATCAATGAGAAAAGGAAGGGAAGGGTAAGAAGACGAGGGAAAGGTTGGGAAAAGGTTGGAGTCATATGTGGAAGAGAACATCTGCAGATTGGAATTGGAACCAATTTCAGTGGGTGAAAACCCTAGCTATTGTGCAATGAGTAAAAAGATCACAATTATAACACAGAGGTTGCTTCTCTGCTCCTACTTAACGGTCCAAGTACAGTCCTACTCTTATATAATCATTTTCTGAGATTCCCCATCTCTATCTTTGAAAGGAGACTGGCTACTACTAAGTACTAAGTACTATCATGACCATTAAAGAATTATTATAATTTATTTTTAAAGGAGTACTGTATGCTGTTGAGGAAAGTGAGGACAACGGAAAGGGAGATTTAGTTTAGGCCAATGAAGTACTTTGATCATAGTTTCATTTATTTTGTGAATACAACTATATTACTACCAATCTGGGTTAGGGCAGAGGCAGAAAATACGGCCCAAGCATCACGGCAGCACATCGATCAAAAGGACACAAATAACTTTTTGGTTTGTGCCATATTCAGGGACATCAATGCTACACAAAATTTAATTGCCATGCATTGAATAAGGAAGTGAGAAAAACGAAGATCGGTAAATGGAAAAATCTAAAAGGTGCTTAGTTAGATTTAGCTTTTAAATTAGAAATGTAGTTAATTGAGAATTAGATTTGAAAAAGTGAATAGCCCTAACCTTGTGGATATAGTTTTGATGGGTTTTATCCGAAAGGTAATGAACTTTTGAAGTTGAGCCGTACAGGAAGTGTAAAAGGTAGGTGAGAGGCTGTAATAGCTCACCTGTTTCTTCTGTATAAACTCAACAGCAAATACACAAACTCGTCAGGCAAAAAATTACATTTTCATTTTCTCAAAAGCTGAAAATAGTACAAATTGACTAAAAACTTAGTGTTCTTTTTGAATGCGCCCACATAACTTCATTTCAATCCCGAAAAAAGCTCATTCATCTCTGACAGCGATTGCGCAGCTTCCCTGGGATCGATACAGTGATGTTAATGTACTCGTTATAGTATTTAGTATATGAATACGTAGGTGCTTAAAAAATGTGACATTGCATATCATAAGTTTATATATCACTTCAATTAATTTGTTTAAGTTATAATTGATTTAGTTGGCAAGACTTCTGAATGATCTAGAAGTATTTTATAGTACTTTGATTTTAATATGGAAAACCAAGTGATGTAAATAAAAAATAATATGCAAATTGAATACTTTGCCACAAAAAAATTAATTATAAGCCAGTACTATTTATATGTAACTTTTATATATAGTTATTCTACTGAAAACATACTTACTTTGTAATATATCAGAGTTAGATTGTTAGATATTTTATGCATGGTAAGAGGTTTTCCATAAACAAGGCATTGTCATTGGTTGATTTGGGGCCAAACATAAGTGCATGTGAAATTGCTGTATGGTGTAGACTCAACGGCAAAGCCTATAATACTATGCATTATTTAGTCAAGAGTTTGCATGTTTCGGTTGGTTGAAAATGAGAGCACGAAACAATGGCACTCTTATTCTCTACTTTTCTTTCCTGTCAAACTTCCTTCTAAAAACTAAGTGCGTTGGGAGTGTTCGTAGTACACAATGGAATGAATGAGTTTACTATCATTTCTATTTTAGACTTAATTTTTTTATAAAATCATTCATTTCAATTTAGTTTCTATTGATTAACATCCAACAATATTTAGATATAAGATTAGATCAATCTAATTGGTTGGCATACAATATTCATGTATAATTAAATTGTAAAATTTAAAAAGTATAAACTATAATTAAGATGTAAAATCATTGTGTTATATATATAAAATGTCTTATTCATTAAATCAAGAAATTTGTTGGAATTTTTTTTAATCTCTTATCTAATTTAATTTTTCTTTATCATAATCACTTATTAATTAAATTTTAGTATTCTAAAATAAATTATCAATAAATAAAAAATATTTTTTCTACGATGCAAATTATTTATCATAAATTAAAAATATAATTTATATGTTTAAAAATATTTATGTATTCTTATTTTAAATATAATTTATATATTCAAATATAATATTTTTATATATAATTTATCATAAAATTTAATTATATAATATATAATAAATATGTTTGTACATTACACATGCTAAAATACTAGTTTCTTTTTAAAATACATTAGGTTTAATTTTAAAAACCTAAACTCTTCAAAGTTAACTTATATTATTCTTATAAATTCATGAGACGAAATAGATCATGAACACTTCTAATGTGTCTATTTGTTTTATTATTGTAAAAAAAATTTAACAATCACTAGTAGAAAATCAGTCTTTTACGTTACCGTTTTCTCGTTGGTCATAAAAATACCTAACATAAAAATATATACGATGACATTTTTGAAATTAATCTAAACTTTTTTACGTTGGATCAAAGGGGGTCCGACGTAAAAATTAAAATCGACGTCGAATATGAAGTACAGTTCGACGTAGATTTCAATTTTTACGTTGGACCCCTTTTGGCCCGACGTAAATTGGTTGTTTTATTCCCCCCAGCACCTTTGTCTTCTTCGTGCACGCAAGTGTTTTCACATTGTTTTCCTCTAGCGATTTCCGACAACGGTGGTATGAGACCTTTGGATGTTTTTCGGTCATGGTGAGCAGCGATAATAACGGCGACAAGACCTTTTTTTTTAATTCTGAACCTATCTCTCCGATTAGGTCGAAGCATTTAGGCATTTTCACGGATTGAGGTTAGTGCTTTCATGCGTGTGTTGATCTTTCTGTGTAAAAATATTGTTTTATTCCTGCACGCGAGTGTTTTGACACTGTTTTCCTCTTCAGCGATTTTTGGCGACAGCGGTGCGAGACCTTTGTGCGTTTTCCGTTCACAGTCCACGGCAACAAGACCCATTTTTTATTCTAGACCTATCTCTTCGATTGGATTGAAGTATTTGGGTATTTTTTGGACGTGTTCACGAATTGAAGTTGTTTTTTTGTTTGTCTGTCAACCATTTTTCGTCGAACGTGGAGGATGTCTGAAGTAATTTTAGTCGGCTAAAACACCTTACGTAAGTTTACGTCTTCCGCATTGACGTCAGACTTTTTTCCGACATAAAAAGTCTAAAATAACATATGTAAAATGTCTCTTTTATACTAGTGAATTATCATGTGAATATATATATGAGCATTTGTAAATTTTAGTAAAATGCTGAACGTCTTAAATATAAATGTTCTAAATAAAATTTTTTAAAATTATAAAAGGCAAAGAAATAAAATCTAAAAAAAATTATTTAAAACTATTAAAATATAGAAAGTTAATTAAAAATTAAAATTGAAAATTAAAAATATTAAAAACTGGCATATATCATGATCTAAAAGAAAGAAAACTAATAGATTAATCTTCTCTTAAATGGATGTAGATAATATATAAGTAAGGTGTACAGCGAAAATAAAAAATCAAGATTAAGATATTTTGAATATTTTAAAATATATTTAGTTTTATTGTTACAATTGATATTATATTGTTAATTGTAATAATAAAATACATTGATTTTCTAGCATGAATGGAAGATAGGACACACTTCATGTATTTTTGTGGCATTGAAGAATTACTAGTTTATTTTAATTTTATCATATTCAAATAAATTATCAACTCGAGCTATGGAGGGAGTTGGGGAGGGATTGATGTGGAGGATGCATATATTACTACAATAATTAGATGAATCTAATAGTAAAAAATGATGCTACACCATAGCCTTTATCGTTGTTATAAATATGAATATATATTATTAAAAAATATAGATATAAATTACATGACACGTCAAATATGTTGTTACATCACATTCAAAATTAATATTAAAATTATGTATAGTTATATGT